ACACAGACCAAAAAACAAAACAAAAACAAGCCCACGGAAGAGTTGTCGTGATAGAGGGGGAGCTATAAGTGACAGAAGTATGGCCCAAAAGGAACACCCTCGTTCTCCAAAAAAAAAAAAAAAAAAAAAAAAAAAAAAAGAGCCAGACACCTACCGAAACGAATTCCGCCTTGATGCTGATGTTTGCCTGAGCATCGGCAATGGCGTGCATCGACGTCTTGGACAGCAGCTGATCGGGATGAATCCCCCATTCTGCCGACAGCTTCACATCCCTCTTAAAGGAGGTAGGAGTCAACGTCGCCACTGTGCCAGACAGCGCGCAGAGAAATAGCGTTCCTAGAGAAAAACGCATGATGAAGAGCTATCGAAGCTACCGAAAAATGCGGATGGAGAATTCAATGATCGACATGGGAGCAGGGAGTATATATGCAATTTGGGATGAATGCACCCCGATTTGGATTGTAAATGGTAAATGTAAGTATCAGGGGAAATGGTAAATGATAAATGGAGTAAAACACTTGTACATTGATTGCCCCGAGAACAATCACATCTGGTTGCATTCAGTCCTCATATTGTGTAGATCGGGGTCCGCCCTGAGGCCGAGACATCGGGTGCAGCCTGGACCCGGGTACTCCATACAGGTACACCATATGGAGCTCTGTGATGCATTGGATGCAACCCTTCTCGGGCTAATTAGACGTCTAGACTTTATCTAGGATAGTGTTACTAGTGTTACCCCTCAATGTGCTCCGACGTGCATTTACCTTGGTGTTTACCTTGTTTGCCTTGCTCATGAAGTATAGACTATAACCTCATTAGGCAGGACCAAATATAAAAATGACCGGATTGAGGCCGATGAAAACAGGCGTCGATCACCCGAAACCAATGGTTCTCGCCATGTGGTTGGGCGGGTTGTTTGACTTTTGGCCACTCTGATTGGCTCCCACACTCGGTTCCCGAACAATATCCGGGGGCTTCATATTGTACTTTGAAGCCACTGATCTTGGCGGCAGTGAGCTCTCTATCATTTCCTTTCTTTACAACTCACTCCAGTTGTCTCTAACTGCTACTGTCTAGCTGTGTCTGCCCCTGACCTGAAATTTGACCTGGCTTGCAGCCTGTGGCTTGCGGCGGAATGCCGGAAGACTGGGAACGGGGGAATGTTTGTCGATCTGGAATGTCCATCGACGCCAAGTCAAAGCATTGGGTGTGGTCCTTCCGCCCTCAGACCCTCGTGGGTTTGTTCGATGTTCTGTTGCCCTTCTCTGTTTATAGCCTCACTCAGCCTCCAACTCAGCCTCACACTGCCTTGGACTTTCTGCATTTCCCAACGGCCAACATATCCCTACATTGCAATATTGCATTAACGTGCATATTTTGCGCAGGTTCTATTCATGAGGTGAAGACTGTACTTAGGCAGGATATGTATAGAATGCGCCCGTTACCCAGGGTCCGGATCTAGTTATCTCATGCCCAGGTGCAGATCTCATGGTACGGAGATATGATCAAACCGAACAAACAAGGCTCAGTACTCTCCAGCAACAGATCAAATGTGCACAAAACTCATGTGGTGAGGTCACACAGCATTGTATTGGACCATAAAGGGAAAGTCAAGCGAAAATCTGTCGCCCCTCCTTCCCTCTATATCCAAGCCCCGCGATCTGCGTAGTGATTCTGCTCGAATGGAAGTTAGATCCAAGATGCAAATGCCCTCTGGGCAGAGGTAAACACAAACCATTGGCTTGTCTCATGCAGGTTCTCTTGGGTGCAGATTTCAGCCGTCCGAGTATGTAGGTCTATTTAGCAGGGGCCTCTGGCACGTCAACCTAGCCTTGGAGCCTTCTTCACCCCTGAAAATATTCCCAGATCAAATACTGCTATCCCAAAGTAATGTCCAACTCACGTCTACAAGATAAAGTCGCTATTGTGACGGGCGCATCCTCGGGCATCGGTCGCGCGATCGCCATCCGCTACGCGCAAGAAGGAGCCAAGTTAATATGTGCCGATTTGACACCCACAGCAAGATCGAACGAGGAAGCCTCGATAACCACGCAAGATCTTATAGTGCAAGCTGGAGGAGAAGCGTTATTCGTGCAGACGGATGTGAGCGATGCAACATCCATGGAGAACGTTGTGGCCGTTGCTGTAAAGCAGCACGGTCGACTGGATATGTAAGCTCAGAATCAGATATCAAACCCATGTCATAAATAATATCCGGAGTTTAGTCTTGTCAATAATGCCGGGGTTGCCATCGAAGCGCACAGCCCGTCTGTGCTGCATCTGACCGACGAGGCGACCTGGGACACGACGATGCAGGTAAATGCCAAGTCGATATTTCTGGGTTGCAAGTATGCCCTTACGCAGATGCTAGCTCAAGAGCCGCATTCTTCCGGTGACCGGGGGTGGATCATCAATATTTCCTCGATTATGGGGATTGTTGGAGGGAAGGAGAGCCGTGAGTCTACTCGTATTTTTGACCAGCAAATGGTTTTTACTTACACCCCACCAGCCTCTTATTGTGCATCCAAGGGTGCAGTGAGTAATCTCACGAGACAGGTGGCATTGGACTATGCACTTCACAATATCCATGTCAATGCGTTGTGTCCTGGCTGTGAGTCTTTGTCTACTCTGTACATGGAACGTGGGACTAACAACTTCCTAGTTATCCAGACTGCTATATTGAAGGAGGCTACCAACGGTTTGATTGATTTTGAGACTCTCAATCGACGACACCCTTTGAAAGGACCGGGTTTGCCAGATGACATTGCTCGTATGGCTGTTGTACTGGCCAGTGACGATGCCAATTGGGTCACTGGCGTGTGCCTTCCCGTTGATGGTGGATATACTGCTCGGTAGATGTTATTGAGTGAATTCTCGGTTGATTTGCAAGAAACCAATTCAAGATATAACGCTGAAGACTATAGAAGAGCTCCACTCTGGCCGATCGGACCTTGCTTGAAGTAGAAAAATAGATGCTGGGATCCGCTATCAAGCCATTGGGTAATTGATGTTCGGAAATATACAGATCCATTTAGTCACTAGCATGAAGTACTCTGTATTCCGTGCAGAATTTGGCACAGGGTGGATTCTAAAGTTGAAGCTCGAGTTGTGGACTCCGACGGCGCTGGCTGTTGAGCTTCGGACTCCGATGCAAAGTCGGCACAAATACCCCACATATAATGGAGACACCTCTTTTAGGCCCATTTCAGAGTATCGGAGGTCCCTTTAGTGGGATCTTCGCATTGAAGCAATTTTCCGGGCTCTGGCCAGAATTCACTGGAGTGCCAATCTGGCTACCTTGACACACCTTTGGTCAACAAATCGTGAACCAATTGCTTAGGCCATCTAAAATATTTGCCCTTTGTTCCTTTCTTAGTACAATAAGTACTCGCAATGTTCCGCTTGAACAAAAGAGATGAATGCAATTATCGCAACAAACAAGAGCTCTGAAAGAAATGTCTTCTTTCATCGTGCACAATGTAAGTTACATTGAACTTTGACTCAAATTATATAAAGTGGTTGTCCCTGGACGTGAATCAAACCCAAACGGCAGGATTCGATACAGATCTTAGGTATACCCCCAACCAACTTTAGAACGAACCCGGCAGAGTGAACATACACAATGGAGCAAGAAAACAAGACCCTTCAGTGGCCCAAGTACCAGGCCAGTATCTTCATCAGCCCCTGCCGACATTGGATCCCAGACCCTCACCACTGTCGCAAGCAACACTTCTGGGTTACGGTGACTATGCCGGACCCAATGTCCCGAGATTCTCACACAGACGAACAAATCATGTCCTATGTGTACCGACGGATCGGCACCGGTCGCGTAAATATAGACAGCGAGCCACAGCATGGCCGGGGTCTTCGAAGTATCTCCTTGCCCATCAGGTGGGATAAACCATACCGACAAAGTGACAGTGTCGTTTTGGAACAAGCCCTCATTCTTGCTGAGTGGTGGCTTGCTCAAATTAAGGCGAAGAGGGTGACCATCGACCAGCATATTGTTTTTAATGCCCTTTGGCCTTGTAGAGCTAGCGAGGGTAGTCTATTGGAGGTGCCCCAGCACTGGAACAAGCCCTCCTTCACTGGGTGGTTTTGATTTTCTGTTAGAGTAAGACTCCACAACGAATACAAATTCACATTTAAGACTTTTTAACCCTAGAATATTCTCGGACATCTGATGTAGTAAGACTATGAGATGGGATGGTCATTTTCCTGCGAGGTCGGCTTGATGTTGTTCGGATGCGCCATCCGCGGAAGCAGCATCCGAGTGCGAATATTTGGAATTTGGGAGTCAATGGCGAGACTGGTGGGGATTTTGTGATATTTAAGACTTGCTCTTGCTCTCAAATTCTTCAAACGACTCTATAACTTCATCATCTCAACGATATGGATCTCGCCAGACAGCTCGAACAAACCTCCGAGGTCATCAAGTGCATTGACATGCACACGACCGGAGAGCCCACTCGGATTATCTACTCTGGATTTCCTGCACTCCAAGGCACTCTATTAGAGCAGCGTGATCAAGCCAAGAGCCAATATGATCATATCCGCAAGCGAATCATGTTGGAGCCACGCGGCCACTTCGACATGTACGGAGCCATCATCATTCCA